GAATAATTAGTTCTTGATGAAATTGGCGATTCTGAGCAAATTCCGTTGCTTACTGACACTTAGTTATTCTGCGTATCACCCTGATGATCGTTCTTCTTTCTCCTCCCATGGGTTTATCTTTGTTTCTAGTTCGATTTTAATTTTTACACTATTACAAATGGGGTTTTGTAGATTTTTTTGTTTGGTAAACATTTAGTGGAGTTTGTATTGCATTGTTAGACCGTAAAATTTAACAGATAACGTCTATTAATATTTGATTATGAGAAATTTAGTTATCTCAGTTTGATGCTTTCTAAGTTTGATTGTGGCATACCAGGTGTTCGATTTAATGCCTGAGTGAGATCATACTCAATTCGTACATTGCATTCTCCTCTTGCCTTGTATTGATTTCTGTGATTTTTCTCTGATCTTAATGCTTAAATTATGGAAGAAATCTTGGATACTTGTTGCAGATAAGACTCTTACCTTTAGTTTTGTTTGTGTAATCTTTTGTTAAATTTGCCTTTTGAGTGTCTAGTCTTACGGTAAAATACGACTTTTCTGAATTTTTGGAAGCAACCAATAGTAACACTGTCATGCTTGCTGAATTGTCGAAACAAAGAGATTGCAACCTTCTTATTCGTTGTTTCATCTTGATCTTCTTCTCGGATTCCAAGATTTTACTAAAGATGATCATTTTCTTTCTTTTAGATGATAGAGTAGTCGTTTATGTGTCCTTTATATGTCTTTCAGTTTGTTTTTAAGGTACTTTTACTGTTTTTGCGTATAACAGGGTTGGTGAAATCAAGTCAAGAGCCTTTGGTAATTCAGGTAAAAGCCATGAAAGTCAAGATCTTGCGTATCCTTTTTTGCTTCATCTTCTCAGCTTTCTGTTGATCAAAAGTTAATAATGGGCTGCACTAAGATGCAGCTATAGTCATAAGTCACCCGAGGACTTTTGATGATGATCATCTGATATAATAGCTGTTCTGATATATACATCTGAAGTACATTTATCATATGTTAGCTTTACTGTTCTAGCAGCTCATTTCTTGTTTCATAATCATTTTTTTACATCTTCCATTGGATTTTCATGTATTTGAAATCTGTTAATTGCTGCTGATGACTTACTAACTACTAGTAGTTATATTATGAGGATCCTTCTGATCAGCCTAAGTGATGCTTATAAATTAGACTAGGTTTGTGCAAAATGCCTTCAATTTTGGATTTTGTTGCACAAGTAAATTAAATTGTTGCTCTTAACTTTCTATGCTACTTATGGCCTGCATACCCAAAAAACAGAGTAAGTTCCTCGTCCCTTCAACTTTAAGCTTATGTATTATCTTTATATCTTATACAATCTCAGCTCCAACACATGAACTCTTACTATGTGAAGTTGCTTTTTCTCTATCTGATTGTTTCTCCTGGGAACAGATGGCATGCAGTTGCATCATGGACATGGGATGCTCAAGACGAAACATGTGGGATATGTCGGATGGCTTTTGATGGTTG